AGTATACTGAACTGAAGTAACAGCAGTGCTTGATACAAGCTTAGATGGATATTCTTTTTGTCTTTCTGTTCGTTCACACGATAAAATAGAAAAAGAGAAAATGGAAAGAAAAACATATATATTCAGACCGAAAAAAAAAGAGAGAAAGTAATACAAGGCGTTAGTTTCCACGTAAAACCAGTTTTTCGTCTATTTTTCGAAAACTAGACTAGACACCAAAAAACACATGCTGGATTCGGAATCTACGTGCAAAAACCGACCAGAATATGTAAACTGTTTCCTTCGAAACCGGACGAAAAGTAATTTGCCTGATTTGCTATGTGTGTACAAATACTTTCATAATCTTCATCAAGTCCATTATAACAATCAGTTTTAGAATCCAACAGACGATATTTAAAAATGCATTTTGACGAACCGTTACAAGGGAATAATATTGAATGTGGACAACTATATTTATTGTCAGATGTAATTGTTAACCCAAGAAGTGAACATCCACTAAATAGATCTTGGACAGTATCAAGTAAATAATACCAGTTGCGGTATGAGTATTTGAAATTGAATTCATGATAATGTTTGCATGTCCCGTCCATTTTCACACTGTGGTGTTGCTGATTCACTATTTACACAGTTGCCATCACCACATGCAAAAATCTCTTTAAAATCACATAAATGTTCTTCACAGTCACTTAATGGAGATAGATAACATGCACTACGTAATTTCATGCCGAACCATTCATCTGTGTAATCCATACAATCTGGATATTTATAATCATCATCAAAAAACGTTTTTGGAATACATCGACCATTTACGCAACGATACTCATCAGGTTGACATTCATTTATTTCTAACTTTTCACAATTAACTTCATCTTAAGCATTCATACAATCAATTTTTCCGTCACAAATTTCTCTCCAATCTAAACACATGGGTGATGGTCCACGATAGCAATTTAAATGCGTATAACATGTACTATTTGTAATCATAAGAACGTCCTGTGCTTTATAATTTTCTTTCATATAAAATCTGTGCCTAACAGTATTAGAAAATGAGAAAAAAATATCGAATGTGTATTGACATAATGCTCCAAACCATAATGTTGAACAATTGTAATACAATTCAGTTTCATGTATACAATTAATATCTATTGCTGTATGTTCAAGATATATTTGATATTTTTCAACTATATTAATTGTTGCTGACCATATATAGAGATCAAGACTGCTATCTACTACTAGGCTCACGAGGGAACATATGTAACTGACCAATCGTTTTTTTAATGAAATCTAGTGCAGTATAGGTAGGTCCAGAGCCAGAAACTTTTTGTTCCAAAACTTTTTTCTGATGTGTCTCGATTGTAGAGCACATCGAGAAACCTATAAAAAACTAGTTTTGAGAATTTTGGAACCCTGCCACAGCCCGCCAGACGGACTTTTCTTCTCTTTTCCGCACGCTGAGGTTTTTTGAGGGAGCAAAAACACTTTAAAAAACCCCAAAACTAGTTTTTTACAGATTTCATCGAGAAATCTGTTAACTTTTTAATCTGGGAATTTGCCAGAATAAACACTAATTTCGTAGTAAAGCGAATCTTTCTTTTTGATAAAACGATAAAATTTGTTCTTTTCTCCATGTCTTGCTTTATATCTCTCTCTGTAGTGTGCGTTGAAAGAAAAAGAACATCAAGTCAAGTATAGTACAGAAAAGAACATATACATACATCGTCATTCTGTTATACGATAGTTCCATATTCTTTTTCTCAGACATATTGAATAATACTGTTCTCAATTTTGTTTCCAATCAAATTACTAAAAAATTAAAAATATTCACCGATGCGACTTTTGACGGCATCCCTAAGTTCAGAAAATAAATATTTTTGCAATTCGGGTTTCTTATTAACAAAATTTCCTATTCACCATTAGTTAGGCAGGTAGAGCGAACAGAAAGTAAGTAAAGTAGGAAGGTGATTAAGCAAATAAACATGTTTGTTGGAGGAAAAAGAAAGAAGGAGCTAAAAAATGTATAAAAGTTTTCAATCCATAACTCAAAATTACACAGTAAAAATGCACGCTTTATACTTTGCTCTTTCACTGTTGATCTGTGCACTGTCAAATGTTAGTTCTTCGTCAGAAGGTTGGAAAGAATTCCGATGTCCGAAGTTTGTTCCATGGGCGACAGACATTTTAAAGTTGAGAACTTATGGTACTTGTGCCAACGAGTGTCAGTCGAACGTTAACGGATTTCAAGGATGGTATTCACAACGACGATACGACTGCACTACGTTCAGCTGGAAGCCAAAATACAATTTAACAGGCAGTTACACCCCTTTGCGCTATCACGGCGACGAAGGTACAGTTGACGTTGTTCAGAATAATTATGATGTGACGTCCACGTACCATAATTCTGGTTATTGGCATCGATTAGTTGGACGATATATTGATGAAACACATGTAGTTGGTACGCAGACACGTTTAGAACTGAGCAGCAACTGTGTTTTTGTATGCGATTTAGAAATAACTGTACGCAATAACAAATCATTTTGTATACGAACGATTGCACAGCAGTTCGTCACCACATGTGGTTTACCCCGCGGCTTTGTTGAAGAATTTTGTATCGTATATTAGCAGCTACAGCGGACGATACACCTGACATTTTCTCCAAACTAATACTTTAGCCACTTCTTTGTCTTGTTGTGTTATACTTCACTTAATCTATTCATCATTTCCGTCAAAACAAATCTTTCTACAGAAATCTTTGGCATGTTTTGAGACATAGTCTTGACTAGAACTACATAGGCTTTGTTTTGACGTAGGTGGCAGAGTTTGGCTTCTTACAATTACATGGATTGATGCATCTTTTTCTAAATTTTAGATGAAACCTTATTCTCTATGTCGAGTTTCACGTACTGCTTAACACAGCTAAATAATCTCCTTTTCCATATGTATTTGCCAATCAACAGTTATGAAAAACAATCCAAAAACTATTCTACATTTATACAGATATCGAAAAACTGTCAAGATTCTGCTAATTAATTAATAACTAATTAATTGCTTCGTCAGAATCAGTTACAAATCTTGATCAAGATCTTGATCA